GGTTCGAATCCTACTGAAAGAAGTCTGATGAGGAAATGTGGTGATTTCCGAAATGGCTATCACTTCTACCATTTTTTCAAATTATTGTTGCTTTTCCACAATAAGTTTTCACTGAAAACGGCCTCGAGCTCATAAAAATTGTTGAATATAATTTTTATAAAGGCCATAAAAATAACAAAAACAAAAAACTAAAGAAAAATTGGCAAAACTTGCTTCAATTTTGCGTCCCAGTTTATATTTGGGAGAACGTAGCGGGAATTTTCTTCATCAAATTTTTGTTATGAATGTCTTAAATTTAAGTGTGAAGTTTTATTCGCTACACTTAGAAAATAAAAGAGAACGAATTTCGATGTGGAGCAAAACTCTCTGGGAAGACAATACATGGTGCAAACATACTTTTTAAATTTTATAAAATAAAATTGCAGTAGTTTTCATCTTATGTGGATAATTCTTGTGACAAATACATAGTTTCGTGCTTATATTTTTGTATTTATATTTTTAGCAGCACCACATCTTTATCAGAAAATTCCGAGAATCCAAAAATTGGTACTGTTACAAGTTGCAGGCATCATTTTAACTCGACCTCTGTCCTGTCCCACGGATAATGGTACATCTTTCAGAGGTTTAAAGATATTATGTGTCAGCAATTTGTTATCAACCTATGTACGTACCCTACCTCGGAAAAGCAAAAAACTTTATATTCGAACGTTTGCTCAGGTGTCCCGAATACTGGCAGTTTGGAAACGTGCAACACTTAATATTTTCATCGAACTTCACTAACTTCAAATTTTTTTTCAACTTTTTTAAGAAACAAAAATTTTTCTGCTAGTGAATCTGGTGGCATGATTTTAGTTAAATGTCATAAACTTGTTAAAAGTGAAGTGGTCGGCAACAACAACGAATGTCAATAAATTAAACTACCTTCTGCTTTCACAGCTTTACGTGTTCATTTCTCAAAATATTGCCCTCCGACTAAGCAAAAGTGCCATACTCTCAGCTAATATAGCCATTTCGCGGGACTAAAAGCAACCTACTGAAAATGATCCAATATTTATAAGAAGGCAAAATTGTTTAATAGAAAAGAAAACGCCATAGGTTTGTAATTTATCCCTGTTTTTATATTTAAGTAATACAAACATGACTTCTGATGTAAAGCTTAGCTACGTATAACGACAGTTTCTTTTGTTAAACAAAACTAAAGTGGTGTACAGCTTAGCTACATATAAATAATCTTTATTAACCAAAAAAAAATCAATGGATTTACTAGTCTTTCTAATTGTAGTTTATGTATTTAAAAAAAAAATGTATATCTGGTTGAAACATTTTAGCCGTTTTTAGCCATTTTTTTGTCCAATCTAGCCGGTTGCCCTGAAAAGTTCTGGCAACACTGCCGCTAAAACACAATGCCGGCGAACGGCGAATTTTTCGCCGCGAATTTTCGTTGTAAAAATTAAAACACACTGTCGTATATGAGAACGCGCACAACCAAAGCAAACGACGACAAGTGTTGCCGCGCCGTCTCAAGAAAATGTATCACTGACCAAGCCACAATTGTATCCAAATGTATCCAATTTTCTTTTTTACGTACCCATCTCATAATTCGTCAGAAAACCAAACATTTTCAAGAAAAAGACATAATTTAACCCATGCTAAGGACTTGAAATACATGTATATATATTTTTATTTTTCATAAAATCAAACATTTATAATTTCAATTTTTAATTTAATTTTTTTGTGCATAAGTATTTTGCAAAGTAAGTAAAATAAATAGTAATTAATATGTTATATTTGTACCTGTGCACTCTAAAAAGTGCATGTAAAACAATTACTGAAAAGTGTCAACCAAAATCTGCATAAATATACGTATAAGATGTTAAAGATTTGATTTTGAACATGAGATCTTTAAAATATACACATGAAAGGGTTAAAGTTGCAAATATTTTGTAACTAAAAGTACATTTCCTACTAATAATAGACATTAAGGGCTCATATTTAGAAGAAGAATGGTAAAATGAAGAGCTTTATAAAAAAAAATTTTCACACACACACGTATCTTTTATATGTAATGAGCTACGAAATCGGGAATAGTGTAACTAATGAGCAACTAATAAGCAACTAAATATGCCTTTTGCAGAACTCTGATATGTTATCGGGAACCGAAGATATACCAATGGTCTGCTAGCTTAAGACTTAACCTAGCGGATCACACGTATATTTTAAACGTAATGAGCAACTAAATCGGGAGTAGTGTAACTAATGAGCAACTAATAAGTAACTAAATATGCCGTTTGCAGAACTCTGATATCTTATCGGGAACCGAAGATATACCAATGGTCTGCTAGCTTAAGACTTAACCTAGCAGATCACACGTATCTTTTAAACGTAATGAGCTACAAAATCGGGAAGTGTAACTAATGAGTAACTAATAAGCAACTAAATATGCCGTTTGCAGAACTCTGATATCTTATCGGGAACCGAAGATATAAATGGTCTGCTAGCTTACGACTTAACCTAGCAGATCACACGTATCTTTTAAACGTAATGAGCAACTAATTAGCAACTAAATACCCAACAGGTTAGAGTTGCGCGTCGTGACCATGGTCATTTACTACCATTATGCGTAGGCCAATTCATGAAATTATTTCATGCGTTTGAGTAGAAACTGAATGAATGAACACCATTTCATGATTTCAATTAACGCGAAATAGAGTTTATGCACTTAGTTTTTACTCAGATCGATGAAATGATTTCGTGAATTGGACTACGCATACATGTGATACTTATGCTTTTAATTTATAAGGTAATTTTATGTTTTTATACTCTTGCTCCCACATGAATATATTAATTCGTGATAAGAATATATGAATTCACCTTGGAAGATAGAAAGCGAGTAAGAATAAATGCCGAGCAAAGGAATTTGTCTTCTTTCAACTTAAATAAATGCATTTTGCAAACAAAAGTGCGTACGTTACTTAGTGCCTTGGTAATGGCGAATTCGTAAGGATCTATTGATTGCATGATAAATATTTTCATTTATTTGTTAAACATAAAATTGCTTCCATTACAACCCGGTCCTATGGATGATAGAAGCGCGAATTCATATAAGTTGGTGTTACCGGAAAATGAATAATAAATTATATGTATATCACAAAATTATTAAGATGAAATGAAATTATTGTTTGATTTCTAACCCAACCTATGTATGTAACTCAATCGCCTAATGGTTTGCGGAACCGTAAACATATGTTTACATATCCAATTTCGTGAGTAGGTACCTGGTACTCACACCTTTTTTAAGAAGTTTCACTTCTATCATGTGTACGGTGTTACACACTCATTTTTTTATTTTTTGTCGTTGGGTTCAACCGGGGAATGGTAGCACGCACTGTTATACAATGTTCTGACCGACATCGAAAACACGTTGAAAACACGGTTTGTGGATTGTGGACTCAATGTCGTTCTGACCGACATTTTGTGTTTTCGATCTGTTTTCGGTGACACTTGAGACATCATTGTGTTTGTTTACGTTTATTAGCAACGAAAATGGTAAGATCTTAATTCGTATAATATTGGGTTAAATTGTTAATAAAATCGTGTTTTATAGAATTCTGACAAGAAAAAAACACTAGCGAAAGTATTGGCTTTGAGAAGCCAAACAAAAATATTGTGCACCGATGATTCCATAAGAGAAGTGATGGAAGCTATCACTAGGAGGCACTCAGCCCTTGCAGAGAAGATCGCGAAATTAAAGAAACAGCGTTTGATCTTACTCAGTTTAATAAAGGAACTTGGGATGCCGATCAAATCGTGTTGGACAAAAGTTTGTATATTTTACACAAATAAATGCTAATAATTCTAGGAACGTAAGCAGCATTTTTGGGAATTTGATTGCCAAAGAAATGGACCTGCTTTTTTTAGAGAAAATTTTCGCATGAACCGTAGCTCATTTGAGAAACTGTGCGACATCCTTAGGCCTCTACAAAAAATGGACACATACTATAGAAAAGCTATTCCACTTGAAAAAAGTGGGGCTATAGCAGTATTTGCTTTAGGCTCGTCTGCAGAGTATCGGTGCATCGCAAATATGTTCGGTGTAGGCAAATCAACGGTATGCCAAATTTTGCTCGAATTTTGCAACGAAATCTGGAGGCTTCTACAGCCAACTTACTTGAATAAATTGCCACTTACTAGGGAAATTGTTGCTGAATTGGTTAGTGGATTCGAGACATTTGGATTCCCGCAATGCTTGGGAGCAATTGGTTAATATAGAGTTATTCATTTTTTAATCTTCGCAGGTGAAATAATATTTGCCACATTGAGGTACATCCATCATCTGAAGAAGCTGTGAATTATTATAATTATAAAGGGCGGTATTCTACTGTTTTAATGGCATTTCCTTCCGCCATTAAGTATCAAAATACCGTCTCTGGTGATGATCAAACAATTTCTAACATGTTCGCTCAGTTTTTTAAATCCAATTATTCCACTAACTCCCAAGCATACTTTGACTATCCTTTTAAACTAAGTCCAATTAACTCAATACATAACCCTATAATATCTCCCGATGATGTTTTAGTTTACCTGAAGTCCTTAAAGCAGTCTTTTAGTTATGGTCCTGACCAGATCCCCACTTGTTTTCTTAGAAATTGTGCTGATTATCTCTATGAGCCGTTAACAGCCTTA